AGACTAGGCTGGCTTATTCCTCACTGAGGCATGCCCAGCTTCTGGCTGCTCTCTAGATGGATTTGCAGCAGATAAATAAATAACTAGGCCTGCACCCCTCACTTTGGATCCCCTCTGTTTTGGCAGGCCATCCACACTGCTTTTTTATCAGGTGTAAAAATGTCTGTCAAATGGCACAGCAAGGGGCCTCGGCATTTTGGCATTCATGACGCCATGCATGCGGCGCTGCCAGCACTTTCTGTCTGCCCGTCTGACCTTGGCTAGGCTTGACATGAGTGAGCAGACTTTTGCCGCATTTCCACTGCATGATACGGCAACGCTCTATCAACTTAACTCGCACTATGTTGGTTTTCATAAGCAAAAGTTGTGGATAGTTCTTGGTTTATGGTCTTTTTTTTGGTAGCAAGTAGCCTCTGTCAAAGTTTTAAGTGAGCTGAGCCAATACAAAAAGGTGAGTCAAAGAAATTCGCCTTTGTGTGACACGGGACATCCTGCACAAACCCAGCATTTTTATATAGCAAAGCTACCGTTAATAGAGACCTAAAATGTTTTAACTTCCTCGCCCCATTTGTGGCAGTCATACACTTAGCTGTACAATTGATGTTCCTGTCTTTGGTTGCCAATACAAAATATGTAAGCTGTTGCTATATTTATCAGCTTAGAATTCTATCTACACTGAGGAGTACTATCGGAAACGAAATAGAAAACAGGACCTGATACCAAAAGTGAGTTGAGTCAAGCCGAACAATGGACTGGCAAAGAGGCATTAGCTTTACCTTCCCCATGTGTAGTGTTCTTCAGGAAGGCAAGTGGGCTTAAGTGGCTGTTAGTCAAACTGACCCCGAGTTGAAGAATGTACCTCTTCAGGCTTCTGTGCTGACTTGGTGGACGGATAATGGCCATGACATAGCTCTAACAAAGATAGCCAGGCCAGGAAACTCACGCCTGATATCTCCTCATCCTTACATCCCCCAACCATTATTGTCATCTTCTCATCTGTGAGGACATCATCCAAGAGGCCGGGCCACTGATGTAAAGACAAGAGTGGAGGAATGAGGTCACTCTGATAAGAAGAGGCCTCATGCTTTGGCGTTGTGTCTCCTTTTCATAGCTTCATGGTAGAAGAGCCTGAGTTGGCATTGTGAAACCAACTTTCCGTATCTGACACGTAAGCTAAGATTTAACCGACTGTGGACTCTGCATTATTCCAGGGGCATGCTGTCTCTCTCCGCTCCATATCCCCGTCTCACCTCAAGGAACTGTCACTTTTTCATCAGTTGGTTACTGAGGGTTCATACAGCCTCACAGTTGTTTCTCAGACTCCTCCCTTCCCCGTATAGAAGAGTATTCTCGAGTAGCTGTCTCCCTGTCTCCCACACTACTGCAGCAGATTCCCTGTTTGACAGTTTTATGCCTGACACCTCGTGTCTAGCAACTGGGAAACCACTATTTTACAGACTCTCAATGTTTGTGCGAGTTGAGATTGGGTTTGTTGTCTTCTCTTGGCTTCTCTTGTTGCCCTCCTCTCACTATCATGACCGACTCCCACTCTCTTGCCCTTTCTCTTTTGGTGTGAGATAACAGTCCGGGTTGATGCGGGGTCTCTGCTGACTGAAAAAGCAAACGGCCCGTTCCAACCGCCTCGGGATGTGCTGCAGTCATCAGGATCCATTGTGTGAGGCCGTGAACCAGCCTGTCGTAGCCTAACATGCCCATGGCCCTCTGCTAGCAATAGCAATCCTTTTCTACTGTTGTTTGTAAAGCCTGATGGGCTAATGTAGGCAATACCAATCTGTCATTTCTTCAGAGCCAAGGCTTTTTCCCCTTTCTTTGACAGAACACTCTGACTTGGTACTCAAGGGTAAAAAGCCATTCTCTATTTCCTGCTTCTTTTCTTTCTTTGCCTTCTATTCAGAGAGTCTGCTTGCAAAGAAAAGTAATTTCACTCTTTCTGTCCCTGAGAGAATCAACACAGTGAAGTTGCATTGCATTTTTACTGCAACATTTTTTTCCCGGCTCTATTTCAGACCCATAACCTGGGGGTAAACATGCAATTAGAATAACAGCAGCCTGCTTTCTCCTCCACTCTCCTCTGCTTCAGCCGTTAGCACAAGCAATGTACAACATGGTGACTTGGTTCTCCTAATTGCCTTTGCTTTTAATTGGTATAGAAAAGCTGTTAATATTCAACCAGCAACCAAACATACTTTTCACCTTGTTTTTTCCCCTTCATTGTTTTTCTCCTCTAATATTGTTGAACTCATATCCTTCTAATGAGCTTATTTCTGGAGCACATCCTCACATTTCCTCATGCGTTACTGCCGGTAGATATTTAAATAGATGATTTCCTATGCTATTACCCTAATGCATTTCCACATTTGAATGCAGATTGTAGGTGATGAGGAGGATATTGATCAAAAGATTCAACTATAAATGAAGTCCGCTGTCTAATCTCCTAAATGGCTTCCGTCTTATCCTCGTCTTATTATTTTTTAAACTTCAGATGGCTTTCTTTTTCTCCTTCCCTACAGAGGAATGAAAAGAAAATATAGGTCAGCTTTTATGGGAGCAGTTTGACACATGACACAAGCCATGCGCATCACTTACTCAAGTCCTGCTTTGTCTGCCCGCCTTTATTTGTCTATAAAGAGAGCGACACAGTTATTGGCACACTTTTATTACGGTTCTATAAGTAGCTGGTGGAGACTTGCCGAGTCACAGGGGCCCCCCATAATACTCTGAGAACCCTGTGGTGTCTGTCTGCATGGGGCTGATAGTGTGAGACGCCTGGCTAAACTCCACCAGGCCAATCCTGGCTGCACACACTGCAGCTGGCCTCCACAGACGCTACTGTGTTTCCACTGCGGACAGGAGGGGCTGTGTCTGTGTCTCACCCAAAGGCTACTAAGCCATTGGGTGAGACACCTATTGGCCTGGATGTGTGCATGGCTGGAGGGACAGAGAAAGGCATGGTCGCTGTTAGGACTCAGCCTCCAGCGAGCTCCGTCCCTGTCTGGATTCAACTCTCTATCAGGTGTAGTCATCCTGCTCCTCATACAAATGGTCTGTGTGTTGGTAAATGCCTCTGTGGGGGCGGGCGTTTTTTGTAAAAAAGAGCCTCTGTTTGGTGTGTGATGTATATTTCAAGTCGATGTGGCAGCGGTGCTGATAGGCGAGTCAGTCGACGTCAGGCTTTCTGTTCCGTTGGGTTTCATCTCTTCCTGCTCGGCTCTGTAAAGCAGATTGTCAGCTGGGGCATTACCATAGGCTGACCTTTGCCGCTGCGCTCCCCATTGCACAGCTTTCTGACATTCAGGGGCGCCGTGGGGGAGGCAGGAAGGGAGCGGACTGATGGTCTGTTGGCAGTTTTTTTTGCCTGTAGTGCGCTGATTCTATAACAAAATGCAGCGACAAGTATAAGGCTGTGTGGGCTTTTTTCCCCGACATCATTTCAGACTCTTGCCACCTTTTGATATTTAGTTTCTCTGCACCCCTGCCCTGCCTGTTGTCAAAGAGATTGCTGTTATCCTTGTGTGAAATCTTGGCACCTTGATAAATGAGAGAGCGCTGGAAATGTTGCCTGCTGACATCAGGGCGATACCTAAAATCCTTTCCAAGGCCGAGGGAAAAGAATAACATATCAGGCCAATTAAAGTTAATGCATGGTGACACGCTGAATCGAGGGCAGGGATTGCTGCCATATGGCGGTCCAGGCTGTAAATCAAAAAGCAGTGGGAAGGGGGGGGGGAGGATGACAGTGGTGGGAGGCTGGGCAACAGAAAAAGGTGACGCAGCATCAACTGCACAAAAAACACCCTAAATCTTCAGATCTGTCTCAAAGAATACAGCGCTGCCACCCACCATTCTACCCTTTTCTCCCTTCCTCCCCCCTGCCACCCTGTCCCTGCTGCACCCCAAGGTGCAACGCTCACAGGTATCTGTGTAGAACTGGCAGCTTCATTAAGGCTTGTTTTTTTTTCATCCTCTCGCTGGGAGGATTTAAATGAGCTGTCATTCTGACCTTTTTGAGCTCCTGCTTTTTAAAGCAAGTTCAGCCCCCACAACACCCCAGCCCCGCCACCCGTCCTTCTCTCTTTCCACCTTTCTCTCTCACTTTGTCACTCTTTCCTGCTCTTGTCTCTTCTCCCTGCAGGGAGGAAGACACTTTTAAGCCATCACCCTGCGGCAGACAGGCACGCCAAGGTTGTTTTGTGGGTAATTGCCTCTCTCATAGACGCTGTTAGTCTGTGCACACTTTGCCGCCCTCCTCTGATGCCACGCAGCAAAAAAAGAGGGAGGGCGCGGACTCTGTAGACTTAATGTGCTCCCTCACTGTTCTTCAGTGCTGATTAAGCAAAGCATCTGGTGTTTTGAATACAGCAGTAAGCCAAGTGGAGCGTGGCTAACGTTTTTCTCCCTATCTATTACATCAGGTTATAGAGCAAAAGTGGCAGGCATTTATTGGAGTTGCAACCCTGTTTATTCATCTCCTTTCACCACATTGTGAGCCAGCTCCATTGTTTAACTTCCCCTGAAAAAAAGGCCTCTTTGAGGTCTAGAGGACTTCAATATCGATCCGAGGCTCACTAACTTGTCCGCGCCCAGGCCTCTCGAGTGTGTTCTTTTCAAGTGTACAGGAGTCATTAATTCCCTCTGCCACGGTCTGGTGGAGGCGGAAAAGGTAAAGCGCAGGTAGCAGGGTCCAACTAGCTGTAACATGCAGGCGGGCAGGGGGAAGGAACCGAGTCAATTTGCCCGTTTTACTTCAGCTGTTTGATGTTTAATTGAAGTTGTTATTGGCATCAAATGTCACCTTACCTGATGCTCCAGGTGTGAATCGCTTTCTAATTGAAAGGTAACCACATCTCCCTCAGCCCTGAGCCTCGGGGGGTCAGCCACAGAGTTCTATTAGTCTGGACCCAGCCTCTGGATCATGTGCTGCCTTGCAGTTATGTCTGACTGCTGACCTCGCTCTCTCTCTCTTTTTTCTCTCTCCGCAGTGTGAGGAGAAGTGTGTGTCCCATGTTGCATTAGTGTCTCTGTGAAATGCTGGCCTGTCTGCCAAGGCCAGGTGAACTCCCCCTCCAGCTTCTCCCCCACACGCAGATGAACACTGGACATCAGAAATGTAAGTATCTCCATCTCTCTCACACTCACACACACACACACACACACACACACACACACACACACACACACACACACACACACACACACACACACACACACACACACATACACGGCTAACTAGCACCAGCATCCCACACAAAAATACCAAGCTGTTACCATCCCTCTACCCGCCCTACGTCAGATGGCCATGCCAACCCTGGCCTGGTTCTCTGGTGTTAGAACCATAAAGATAAAATGAAAATGTTTGGGCTCCAGGACCATGGATCTGTCGTCAAGAGACATTTAAGATTAACTGGGCCATTTATTTGCCGATGTTTTGTCCCTCTCCATCCCTCATCGCCCCCGAAGATCTGTCTGCCACAAGAGTTCCTTCCCGTCTGTCATGTGTTAGATTCCACCCTCTCGGGTACTTTTCACTATCAGGAAGAGTCAGTCACTGTCAGACTGGCAGACAGATTGCGGCTGAGTGCTTTTGCCCTGATGATCTTGTAATGAGAGTGAATTTAAGAAGCAATCTACTGCCCCGGTTTTAATGGGAGACTAGTCAGAGCTGGCTCAGTTAATTCAATGTGTTTGAATTTCACAACTTGGGAATCAAATTGGACTCTTGACAGTTTGAGGGGCAGCTACTAACTGGACTGGAGGAGATTATAGTATGTCAAAACTGATGAGTATACATGGTAACAATTAGTGTCGTATAGTTGTTCCTTGTCACCGTTTTAAAAGTGTTATGATCATTTGTTTAGCCAATCCAAACTTTGTTACTAGTTTCTTTGAGGGAAACATAATTTTGTAAAGGCCCCATGATTCGGATCAGCTCACATTTTAAATTGGTTCTTTCTTGGACAACGATACACCATTCCACAAAGTTACATTCAAATCATGTTAGTAGTTTTTCTGTAATACTGATGACAAACGAAAGAAAAGAAACCCTCAAACAAAGACACAATGAGCATGTGTGGTCTCGATGATTGCACCGAATACTGAGATTACTCTCATACACTGAGCTTTTTACATATAAACCAAAAAGATCAATCACTGAATATAGCCCATCCAGTTTTTCATTCCATCAGAAAATGTCACCTTTTCTTCCTGCTTGTTTATCTCCGAGTGGAAACTCAGCTCCAGCTTGACCCATTTCTTGCAGCAGTTTTTTCTCTGTAAAATGCTCCAGCTCATCAAGACTGTAATTTCAGAATCACAGTAATCAGCCAACCCCCAGGAGATCAGCAAGTGTGAGGGAGTCTGCTAAGTGCCAGCGTCTGTTGCCTCACTCAGGCAGACTTGTGACATAGTGCAGCCATCAGATACACAGTTCCTCCGCTCTCCCTTTATGTGACACGCCAAGACACATGAGAGCAAGACACATGAGAGCAAGAGGCGCAACTGGAGTTCAGTTTGTTTTTCTCCCCAACGCTGTAATCCATTTTGATGACAGAGCGTTCAGTCCTGGAAGTGTAATTTCAATCTATTTTGTTCCCCTCCTCGTCATTCTCTTGTAATGCTTTCCCTTTTCATCCGCTCTTCAAAGTATCATTAACAGACGCCGTGTTACATCAAAAGCTGTGGAATTTTTCATTTTAGACTGAATCTTAGTCACAGTGAACAAAAAGGATTCTTGACACTCATGTTATCTCTCTTGCTGCCAACTATCCATCCCCCGTAGACCCCCTTCTGGATTTTCACAGTTTGTGACGTTTTTTATGTTTTTGAGATGCCTTTAAGCCGCCACACACAACCGAAACTAGGCCTCAACCCTGGGATAACACTCTGCCATCTCCTTCCTGGCTGTCTGCAGGACTCCGTGTCTCTGCTGAGCTCCATAGTTAACCCAGCATGGAGGATAATTTGACAGCTTAACTCCATGAGAGGTGTACTTGGCTGCTTTTAGATGAAATTCATGGACTAGTTGTCACTTGAAATCTTTATTCAATACTCTGACAGACTTCCACGGAAAGAAAAGGCATGGATGGAGAGTTTACATAATTAACTCTAATAATTTGTGTTCCCATCTATCTAACCTTGAGCACAATCCTTGCAGCAACACTCTAATGCAGTGTTTTATTTGACATTCTGCCCTTTACACCTCCCCTTCCCTCTGATTCCAAATGATCCATGCCTCCCTCCTCTCCCCAGGTGGATCTTTGCAGAGTCATTTAAAGTTACGAGCTTGCAGGTTGCCGTCAGAAGCGAGGCCAGAGCAGCTGCTCTATTTATCATCAGGGATCAACTGTTAACAGACGATGGCTGTGAAATGTTAAGGCTGTCCGAGGAGTAGATTAGGTTTGCAAAGAGACAGTGGGTCCCAAAGAAAACGGCTCATTCTCCAGGCAAGATGATTCAAGTACCACAAAGTGGCCCTTGGTCTTCAGTTCTGCTTACAGGCAGAACAAACAGTGAGTACAGCTGGGCCACTTGGCTGATTTTCAAAACTCATCCTTACTGAGATCAAAAGCCACCGTCTTTTCTTCCTCTCCCTCCCTATAATATTCTTCATTTTTCAAAAGGTCTTGTGGTTTTGATCTATCGGCTATTGGCTCTACTCAAACGTCTTAAAATGGTCGGAGGTGGCCTCATGTGGGATATTCACATGTCTAATTTGATGCCGAAGCTTCAGACCTAATTTCCTGCTCTTGTGTGAAAATTGCAATTTGCAGCAGCATGAGCCCATGCCCCCTGCTGCTTAAACCTCGTTCAATAAAAACAGTAGTTTGAATAAAATAATCCCTAATTAGTGCCTGCTGACTGTGCACTTGTGTTCCAACTAGCTAGCTAGCAGCGGGGTAATTAACGCATTAACCTCTTTCCCCTGTTTCCCTCCTTGGGAACGTGTTTAGTTGGAGATCTGAGAGATGATATGCTCGCAGCCACCAGCAGCCGCCTACAAACTTCACTCACATCCTCATTAACCCTCCCTCGGTACATTAAGCTGTTCCTCTAATCCAGGTTTCAGGTTAAGGTTGAAATGCTAATAAACTACATTTGCTTACAAGAACACATAATCAACAGCTGCCAGAACCCTGAGACAGTTGTTAACAGCAAGAGGTCGATTTTATCCACTGTTTGGGAAAAGTCTAAACAGCAATTCACTGATTTCACTACACATTTTATAGCCGTTCTGTTCAAGCCTTCATTCTGATTTGCTTTTTTTTGTATCTCAAAATGCCTGCCTAAGCTTTGTTAACAATGTGTAATCCCTTTTCCAATTTAATGGATTGGTCAGTTTCCAGACATTGACATTGCTTTCTTTGCTACTTGCCTGAGTCTTACCACTTAAGTATACAACTCATTACACAAGTGCCAGAGGCAAAGAAATAACTCTGTACACAGTTACAGGCTCACTGGAGATTTTCTTGCTATATTTCTCAATCTAAAAGCAAGTAAAGGCTATGTATTCAATATTATTAATTCTCCTTACTACCATATATAAAGATATACACATTCATTTAGGTATTATATAAAATCATTTCATTTCATTATGAGGAATGTTCACTGTTGAATAGTTCAAAGCCTTGAAGCTTGTGCACGGTTTGCACATAAAGATAAGGTTACACTTATATTGTTAGTATTGTATACTTTGTGTCATTAGATTTCATCGGTGTTCGGGTAATTTTGACTTGTGTCATTTAAACATTTCCATTAACTCAATGTCCAAGAGTCTAAAAATAAAATGTTGAGAAAAAACAGCATTTTCAAAGTAGTCAAAAAATAGCTTGCTCTACCTCTTGCTGCAAAAAAATGGAGGCACTTGGGCATTTAACAGCACCTAAATGACATAACACAATAACAAACAATCTATTCTTCCAACATGTTTTAAGGGGGATGACGCTATAAAATATGACAACAAGGATATTTGGTACAGCATTAGACTTAAGTTACAGTCTAACACACAGTAGATTAGAAACCAAACGTTGATGTCTCTGTTGAAGCTCTTTGAGTGAGACTGTTTGCATCTCCCTTCACCTTTCCTTGCTGTAAATACATTTTTATCCAACTTGACTTCTCATCTCGGAAAACAGAGTGGTTCCCTGATATATGATGTTACATTTTTAGTTCCTGTGTTCCACAATCTTGGTTTTCATCCAAAGGAGTCTTATCCCCATGAAGTGAACAAATATGTTTAATTCATTGCAACAGCTGATGGTACTCTCTTCCCACCTACTTGCAACCCTGTCTTAAGCTACATAGACATGAGGTTTTGACAACAGTTGCAGAGGAGGCTGTGACAGAATCTCTCAGGCTCTAGATATACTCTGGATACTGATAGCAACTATGGAGGACAGAAGCTGCCAAAATAAATGAATATGCCTAAATGTATCAAAAATATTTAAATAAGGAAGCATATGTATGAACCTAGCTGTTTGGATCTATGCACTCTGATGCTGATCAACCAATAGATGGATCCAATGATAGACTTTTAATTAAAGCCCCTCATTTGCATAGCAATGACTAAGAAATGATTAAGTGTAATACAAAGAGAAAGAATATACATAATTAATAAAGAAATGCATGCAACGCATAACAAATGTAAGATGTTTTTTTTTAAATAAAGAACATGCAAATAAATATATAGAAAATATAAGACAAATTGTAAATGAAAAACGAAGCAAATAAAAACAGAGCAATTTGTCACATTATATATTATAAGGCATATTCATTTATATAAGGTCTGTTTTTTTTTTGCAGCTTTTGTCCTCCATAGAAATAGGTACATTTTGTATGCATAACATAAATTATGTATAATACTGTGTGCCTTTGTATTTATTCAGTTTGCTTCTATGTTACTGTACAACCCATCATTTCCAACAAGGCCATTAATCACTACCTGTGTTTGACAGCTGAAGCCCATCCTCAGCATGTCTGTGAGCCTGTGTTCATTTATCTGCCTTTGCTTACCGTGGCATTTATTCAGTGGCAGACATTAGGCCGCGGTGATGGCGGGTGTCGAGCTCCAGCTCCTTGGCCCAGACCCCTGCATTAATGAGGCTGCCATCAGCAGGCTGAGCACTCGGTCACAGCGGCCCCCTGTGTGCCGCCCCATCCCGGCCCCCGCACATCGCCGCCCATTGTTTCCTGTTCACAAATAAAGCAGGAATTAATTAGCCGCTTGGCACAAACTCGTGGTGCAGCCGTGTCAGAGCTCGCAGTTCAGCTCCATGCCTCATCCCTCGACTCCAGCCTGCCTGCTGTGAGACTGAGCGTAACGGGCACCGCCGCATGAAACCACAGAGCTCTGCCAGCAATTCAGACATTTCAAATTACAGCTCACTCGACAACAGAGAGAAGCAGTCTGCATGCTGTAATGGTGACATATTTTTTAAACTGAAGTCCCCTGCTCATAAATAATTAAAGTAGCTCAGTAACCAGTCAGATCCTTCTCACAGATCAGCTCCACTTGTGTCCATCAGTCTGAGAGCTGTAGTGTAAGTAGGTCAGACTGGTACTGCTGAGGTGATGGGGACAGTGAGAGCCTGTCATTCTCTGAAACTGTTATCACTGACTTTTATTGTGTTGAGTGAAGAAAGTGTAAGTGAGCAGATCGGAAATTGCAATCACGCCCGTTAGACACGATCAGCCACACCTGCATGATCCTGTCGCACATTTTCAAATGGGCCCATATATGAAACTAACACATGCACAAACACATAACCGTGTTCACAGTGTCACATCGGCATTGTTAAATTTAGCCATGGTGCTTAGCAGGTGTAACAAATGTCTGCGAGCGGAGGCCTGGGAGGTGTTCCTGCTGATCAGAGACGCTGCTGCTGTGTCTGATTACTTGTCTGCTGTCATGGAGCTCTGCTCTCTGCGTCAATCTTTTTCTCTTCCCCGCTCCCTGCAGCATCCACGGGGGACCATCACTGCCTTCACTCATTCTTTGTTTAGTTTGTGATTCAGTAGCAAGCAGCGTAGACCCCCACCCCAACCTCAGACGCACACTTATTGTTCGCCCCGGATGCTGCGTGAATTAAGGCCACTAAAAGCTCCTGACCTCAGACGCCACCACACAATTGGATTTTAGACTGGCTATGTGTCGGCCACAATAATTCAGCTGAGAATGAGATTGGAAATATCTCTTTGTCCTCTGGAAGATGTGATGGTCTTTGGTAGAATAACAGTTAGGTATGGAATATAAGAGCGCTGTCTAAATCAGGTTCCTCTGGGCTGCTCAGATTACAGCTGCTGTGCTCTTTTGTGCCATATCCACCTGGATTAAGTTGTCTTTCTCATTGTGCTTTTCTCTCTCTTTTTTTCCCTCCCTATTCTGTCTCTGTCTTCCCCTCTGACCCATTCTGTCCTCACCACAGGGGACACCACACAAAGGATGCGATCGGCTCCGTTTCCAACCCCTGCAGAATTGGATGCATTTGCTAAGAAGGTTGCCAACAACCCCCTCACCATCAAGATCTTCCCCAACAGCGTGAAGGTCCCCCAGCGGAACCACGTGCGGCGTACAGTCAACGGGCTGGACACGTCGGGCCAGCGCTACAGCCCCTACACCTCCTCTCAGGCCAAGGCTGGCCTCCTTGCCGTCATCAAGGGGCCCACGGTCAAAGGCATCCTCAAAGATTTTGACGGCAGCAGGGCTCGCTTGCACACTGAAGTCGTCATGAACCCCCACACCGGACCCTACCAAGTGGCTTCGACCAGCACTTTAAACCACCACCAGGCTCTACCGAACCTCACCCGACTCCAGCAGAGCTTACCCCTTCAACAGGACCCACCTCAGACTCTACAGATGCCCATCCCTCCGCAGCAGGGTCACAACCAGAGCCTCAGACACCCTCCCCCCATGGCCCAGCACCCTCAGGGCCCACCCAGACTCCAAACTCTGTCTCAGCACCCGGCCCTCGGCCACCCACAGGGGCCCCCTGGCGTCATGCTTCAGCAGCAGCAGCAGCACCTCCAGCAGCAGCCGGCCCCCGGCCTGCAGGGGGGCAGACAGCTGCCAGATGGCGACGCACCGCCTAATGTTACCGTCTCTACCTCAACCATTCCACTCTCCATGGCCGCCGGGCTGCACCAGGACCACCAGGCCGATCTGAGCCACATCGTTCATCAGATCAACCAGTTCTGCCAAGCTCGGGCCCAGGGCGTGGAGGTCACCTCCATGTGCGAGGGTCAGATCGCTAACCCTAGCCCCATCAATCGCAACCTGCTCATCAGCGCCTGCTCCAGGGTGTCCATGCACAGCAACCCCGCCACCCCTGGTTATCCCCAACATAACTGCATTATCTGTCCTCAAGAGAAAGCCACAGGGCCAATGGGAGCCCACCCCCAACACAGCATGGCTGTTATGAACCACTTGCCTTCCAACCACAATGATCTCAAGCAGCAGCAGCAGCAGCAGCAGCAGCAGCAGCAGCAGCAGCAGCAACAGCAGCAGCAGCAGCAGCAGCAGCAGCAGCAGCAGCAGCAGCACCACCACCTGCAGCATCTGCATCAACAACAGCAGCAGCTCCAACACAACGCGCAGCTGCAGCAGAAGATGCTCTCTTGGAATCAGCACCAGTTGGCTCACGTTCCCCACATGCAGAACGGTGGGAGCCACCTCTGCAAGCAGCCTTCCAGGGACCCCGCCTTCCATTTTAAGGGCATGGGCTACCCGGCAGAGGTGTGTGTGGGCCAGCCTTACACTCTGAAACCTCCCATAGAGAGGCCAACGCCCTCTCCACCCGTCAACAACAACGGAATGCCCGGCCACATGGCCCACTACACTAACGGCCACTACTTCCAGTCCCACCTTTGGAACAGCAGCATCCTACCTACACCCAACAGTGACAGCTCCGGGTCTCAGGACATAGCCATGCCATTCCACGGTGCGGGCCCTGGGGGCTGCACCACGCTAGACTGTGGGCCCCCTGGGGCTCCCCATTACATGCTAGGAACGAGCTCCTCCTCTTCCTCCGCCCAGTGTAATCTGATGCAAACAGCAGATTACTTGGGTGGGGACTTCCAGACGCCCTACTTCCGCGATCAGAATCTAGGGCTGATGGGCAAGATGCACAGGCCTCCTCTGAGCAGGGCAGATCCAGAGGTCGGGGACGGCAGAACCGCTCTCATCCAGCACCCAGGGTACAGATAAGCTATGGCCTTATCTACACTACAGTTATCAAACCCCCTTTGTTAAGTCTTAAGAAAGGAAACACATGAATACATTGATAACTTAAACCGCTTAAAGAGGGTAAATTAATACAGGTTTTTTCCCCGTTTTCTTTTATAAATCTTGCAAGTGATCAATTGCTACTTTTATTTTTGTTAATGAGTGCTTTTACCTGGCACTTTAAGGAACTTTTTCATGTGTATACTGTGTGTGTCATTCCCTCCTTCCTCTATTTTACTATCTGTGTGCCTGGGTCTAAACAAACCCTGCGTTATTTCTATTTCAGACCTTTCAGTTATGTTTTCTTATGCATGTAAGAAAAGAAAAAACAGATGGATCCCTGCTACGTCTAATAATGGATGTTTTTTTTAACAGGGTTATGTCAGGAATTGTTGGCTCAGACTAGTTTCACTACCTTTTGATTTGGTGTTAACGCTCCGATCTCATCAGAATTTAAAGATTAAACGCAATCATTTGAGGGCAAAAGAGAGTAATAATCAGTGCAACACCACCACACACGAATAAAAGCTCATGCACATGTACACATTGTTTTATTTTGCTTTTAACTGTAATTATTTATTTGTATAGTAGGACTATTGAAGATCTATTCCTCTGTGTCAGTTAAGGAAGCATGTAATCAGGTTGTTTGTACATAGTCAAGCTCCAGCTGGGAGCAGATGCGTTGAATAGGCATTGCTCTGTCCTGCTGAAAATGCTGCAATGAATTCAGGTGTTTAAAAACTAAAAACTTTTTGTCAATGCCAGGAAGGTTTGGCAACGAGATTGTGAAATGTTAAGTGCAGAAAAAAGTAATGAAAGATTAACCTTAAAATGGCCAAAGTCATGTTAACAAGGACACACTGTTATGAAGATGTGACATTTATGTGTTTGTTTCCTTTTTGTAACCATGAAAAATGTATTACTTGAATGTTGAGATTATTTGTTTTGCAGTTATTGAAGGTTGGTAGGTTGGTTGGTTACGAGGACAAAACTCTGGAGTAGAATGAATAAAAGTGTTCCTAATGTTGTTTAGAAACGAGCCTCGTAAGAGTTTTGATCCTGACAGTGGGAACTTGAGTGATTTAAGTTATGTGTGGTTGCTACTGATTCTGATGTGAAGTCTGCTCGAAATTAGACCAAATTGATCACTTGCAAGATCACTTGGAGGAAAACAAAAAGGACTTATAAGTTTAAAGTGAAACAGCAAATGCATTGTTTATTTTATTGTACACTGGCTTACCTACTAGACTACTGTAACTCTAAAGTTTAACGATTGTGTGTGAATGTCGCCTGCTGATGAGTTAAGGGTGAGTGTGTAAGAGTGTGTGTGCATAAACACAATGACGCCCATGTTTTGTTCACCTAACTCCCTAACAGCCCTTAAAAAGCCTTAAGTGTTTGGTCCTTGGACTTCCCTTGAAAATGAGCATGGTTTTAATGAAAAACCCCAAATAATAAGGAGAAAGAAGATGCTAAGGATACACAGAAACAGCAATTTATTGGTTTCTTTCTGGTCTTTTTATTTTATTGAAGTTTTGTTGACTCGACAGAGAAATTCCTTTAGAGATTCTTTATTATGGAGAGCAAGAAAAGGAGTAATATTTTGTAATTATATATTTTAGCAATGTCTAGTTACTGAGCTGTAACCATTTTTTTCCAAGTTTCCAAGCTTCAGTTTGCAGTTGTGACTATTTATAATACTTGATTTGCTTGTTATTTAAATTTCATTTTCTTCTTTTGTTTCTTGTACTATTGCTGTGAAATGGAAGAAGGTCCACAAGCCTTTCTTTTGTGTCATTCTGTACGACAGATGAGAGGCAAGAGAGTGAGAGTTGTGCTACTTTTTTGTAATATTGTAATAATAAAATAAAGTTCTAATTTATGCTTTGAACTGAGTCTGAAATTTGGTTTGGATCATCTGCAACACTCACACTGAACACGGTTGTGCATTTCTTCTCATTCTCACTTCATTCTTCATGAGCTAATAGCAAAAAAGGGCTCTTAAAGGAATATTTCCTCCACAAATGATCATATTTATATACATTTATTACCCTGTGCCTCCTTGAGTGTATGAAGAAATAACGGAGAAGTAACCGAGGAATGTGTTGACTAATGTAAGTAAATGGGGGTCCAAAACAACTGCAAAACTAACTAAAAACATCCATTTACAAACTCTCACACAACTCATACATTATAATACATTTTTCTTTGATCAAGTTGTATGCTTACTTTAGCTCGAAACAAACGCAGTTTAAAACACTTTGGACAGGTTGTGGTTTCTTAGTCGTCTCATATAGGTTTCTTACAGATGTGTGCCAACTGAAAAGGCCGCCTAAACCACCTTTCATTTGTAACTGAGGCCGCTAGTGCCAAAGATGACGACTGTTGCACCAATTGCTCTGCTTTCCTGCCTCTGACAAATACAATACAATACAACTTTATTTATAAAGCACTTTAAACCTCCAGACCAAAGTGCTGTACAGGCAAATAGATAAAACAAAGCATACAAAAAAGTAACACAGCTCACACACCATAAAACAAGTACAAGTAAAAACAAAAAACAATTTAAATGCAAAAAAGCAACACTCTGAAAGATGTTGAAACGCCAAATATTAAAACGCTAAAGAGAAGAGGTGGGTTTTAAGAAGCGATTTAAAAGCAGGCAGTGTGGAGGCCTGTCTGATCTCCAGGGGCAGAGCGTTCCACAGTTTGGGAGCCGCTACAGAGAAGCAACGATCCCCTCTGAGCTTTGACCTGGTTTTAGGCACATTCAGGAGCAGTTGGTCCGCTGACCTGAGAGGGCGGTTCGGCGTGTAATGCTGTAGCAGCTCAGCAAGGTATGGTGGGGTCATGCCATTTAGGGATTTAAAAGTAAATAAAATCATTTTAAAATGGATCCTAAAATAAATTGGCAGCCAGTGGAGAGAAGCTAAAACAGGGGAAATGTGGTCATACTTCCGTGTGCCAGTTAAGAGCCTTGCTGCAGCATTTTGCACCCGCTGCAGTCGTGCGAGGGAGGACCCACTGACCCCCATGTAGAGAGAGTTACAGTAGTCCAGCCGGGTGGTGACAAAGGCATGGATTACTGTCTCAAACTGCTGTCTGGAGAGAAAAGGTTTCTCTCCAAATAGAAACAGGAAGTAGAGTAGACTAGGCACGCTGTGAAATCCACAGGACTATCTGGCTGCAGTAGATTTAGCTTGTCTAGCTGTGATGAAAATGGGACTTGTATAAAGGGCACACTGCAGGGGGGGGGGCGAGATCAGCACCTTTCGTAATCAGTATTACTCCATGAAGGATTGGGAGCTGTGTCACAGGCAGGTTCTGGCCTTTGTGCTGAGAGGATGTGCATCCTGCTCAGGTGGTGGTGGAAACAGCGTGTGCAAAAGCCTTTGGATTAAATGTACGGCAAATGTATGATTTGGCAATTAGGCATCTTTGATCATTTGTCCTATTTTACACTGTTGTGTCAGTCAGGTGAACACATATCTACAATATCTCCATCTCAGTGAAATAATGCCACCAAGGCTACATTTAATATCAGGCTGACAGGGGAGTATCAGTCAGTCAGAGAGGCAATTCACACATTTGACAGTTACATTTCTTTGCTGTCTTTAAATGTAAATGCCTTGATGTCCGGGCAGCCAGTGTGAAGCTCTCTGGTGTGTCTTTAGACTGATGGGGGGTTCAGAAGATTCATCTCTGAGGACTGATATGCCTGCTGCCGACTGCCCTCTGTGAAAAAGCCTCTCCAGCTCCTCCCTGTGGATAAAGAAGGATATGTTCACACATGACTTTCCTGTCACAGAGAAATACTAAAAAAAAACATTTACTGCGTTCATGTTTCTGCACCTCTGTGTGCTGCAGGCTGCTGGGCGCGATCCCAGCACCCCGGATCCTCATTGATTTTGCCCAGGTTGCTGTTCCATTTGTTCCAGTTGACTTCCTCCACTCTGAGATGACAAGAGGACACATGCTCCAATTACTGTATGCTGTGCGATGCATCAATCAGCTGTCAGAGAAGGCAAATTAGTGAAGGGCCCAGTGTGCTGTGCATCAATCGATGGTGCTCACATAGCTGCATCTTTTGTTGAATCTTCCAGCCTACAGCTTTTGTATCTTCTTTATTATCATAGCTTGCTACACCTTGTGTTCTATCACTGTTAAGGATCAGCTTGAGGATGCAGAACAGTTGTGGTATAGAGAACCTCCTGAATGTAAACATTTGAGGTTTGACTTTGTAATATAATAGTCTCAAAACAAAGTCGAACAGCTGGCCATTATAGCAAAACATGTCTGAAAACTTCTGTCTTAAACCTCTCAAAGTATCCTTCATATCAACTTGAAACCTGCCTATACAAACCTCTAAGACTCACCTTATGCATACATCTGCAGATCTAGTGTCTAATTCAGCACAGCTGGACACAGTAGGGGACCACTACTGATCAGTAGACGTATAGCCGATCAAATCTGCTTGTCATTTTTAACTACTGGGAATTTATACAACATTGAGAAACCAAGCAAGCATCTCTTTCTTCAGCCCTGGCTTACTGTGCTTAGGAGCCCTGTGCACTGAGCCTGTTTCCTGACAGTTTCATAGGTTCGCTTCACTATATTTTGCCCACAGACCCAGAAACCAACTAGTACCTCTTTAGTTTGAATGTTAGCATTTAGCGTGTTAGCCTGATCACAAGGACAATGATAACTTTCAGAGTTTTAGCAGTTGTAATGTGTTCTCCATCTTAGTTTAGCATGTTAGCATGCAGTGAAGAGAATTCCATTAGTTTAGCAGATATTAGGATACAAACCAAAGTATTTGGGCAAAATATTTTCATTTTTAGCAGTGCTGGATGAAAAGTTTATGATTCTGTTATCACAATTCATCCTGAGGGGAAGATTAATACCCAAACCAAATGTGGTAATACATCAAATGATTCAGATATTTCCATTTAGACTCAAGTGATCTCTATAAAAAATATCTGCATAATGCATCATTTCTATTAAACAATATTTTGGAAGAATTCTGGTTTGTGTTTGAAATCGGAGTTGTAATGACCAATCGTTTTCAACAGGCTTTGGTTGAATGCGGTTCAACAGTCAGTGTGGAGAGCAGAAGGGGCAGAATGCATTGGGCTGAAATGCATTCTGGGAACCCAACAGCTTTCTACTGATTTATTTAGTTTTTTATTAGCTTAAAGCTAGCTTGTTACCTGGCCACTTGTGAAAAATGCTAATCAGAAGAAGTGGCAAAGAAGTCGGGGCCCAGATATCAGCTAGCTATACCTGTATTTTAGTTGTGCATATTACCAAATGTGATGGTGCAAGGACATTAATTATGGAAGTCTGTGTGTGTAATTTCATCCAAGATTCAGATGCAGCTTTTGATGGAGCCTCTTGATATCAGTAACAGATTGTGCTGTCACTGAACCGAGATTAACCAACCTGAAACACCGGCGACGGTCGTCTCCAAGAGTAGTCCTGAGGTTCTTCTCCACCCCACAGCGAAACCTCTTCCTCAGACAGCTAGACAGCCTTTTCTCCATGTCCAGGATGGTGATGGCCCTCTAAAAAAACAGTGAAATCACTTAATCAAACCCTAGCTGCTTGGAACAGACCTGGAACAGATCAACCTCACTCCTGCACGCCTCACCTGTAGCTTCCAGATGCTTGTGCTCTCCTTGGTGGTCTTCTCCACGGTGCAGTTCATGAGGGCGATGAGCATGTTGAGCAACAGGATGTAGGTGAGTATGATGTACCCGATAAGGAGCACATAGAAGACCTCACTGCTCTTGTGGTCCTGGATGAATTCCATGTCCCCCATGCCGATTGTGAACTTGAAGAGCTGCAGGATGGTGAAGGTGATGCTCTTGAAGGAGGGCTTTACACAATCATCAGGAGCAACTGCAATATACAAACGCCCCTTTTCCGGCGTCTCAACCACAGTGGTGTTTTGCGCAGGCTCTATGAGCAGACTGACCACCGCTGTGATAGGACAGGGGAAACAGATTACAAATAGCACATCCTCCCATTATCGCATAGTGACAATAGCTATGCAAGCTTAGGTAGCACTTTCTATGACGCCCAATGTCTATACTGCATTATAAATATGCTTTAGATGTGTAATAATGTGCTTATAGTAATGTATATGTACAGTTATAGGCCCTTAACTCACATATTGGAAAAAGGATAATAATACTTAATGATAGTCACATTTTTTGCAAAATTCAAGTGTATTATAATGTCTTAAGATACTGATAATCTATCTTTTAATGCATTATAGTGTAATTATACATTACTCTAAGTCAGGGGTTCCCAACCTTTTTTCCCAAGGGCCCCCCCAAATGACTCCTGTTGGAAGTTGCGCCCCCCCCCGCACATACTAGGGGGTTGGGGGGGGGCGCAACTTCCAACAGGAGTCATTTGGGGCGTGGGCGCGTGCAACAGCGGTAATTAAAGTTTAAAAGTCTCAAAAATGCTACAACTACTCTCACAAACTGGGTGAATATGAAGTATTTTGTTAAAGGAGGATGAAAGCATAATTAAGGAGCACTATTGGAGTGACTTTGATGGTTATTGGACTCAGGATTAATTCATTTGGATTCCCGCTGTATGAAGAAATTAAAGGGAGGCGCGGAAGTGGAAACAATTCACAAAGGGATTAAACTGTTTAACACACATGCTCAAAGTAAGCCGGATTTTGCTGTTGTGTTTATGTGGATTCAAAAGTCGTAAATAATCTACAAAATGGAGGAGACCGATCTGATCGGAGCAACTGTGACAAATAATCCAACTGAAACCGGCATGGACAATGACTATGTTTTAAAAATGCGCTTATCCAGAAAAGCCTGGTTTGGACACTTTACGGGCGGAAGAAACATTTCTATTAAAGAAACATTTCTATTAAAGAAACAATTATACATTTCTGTCTTTGTATGCCTTTAATAGCTACTAACTTGAATTTGTATTCAAATGAATCAATCAATTATTTGTTATATTTTATTGTAATGTAGAGACAAGGCCTTTTACAATTATATGTATACAAAATAAAATATAAAGTCTAAATATGATATTTGGCCTCAAATCATCTGAGGCCTGGCGCCCTGCGATCAAGGGGGGAGCGCCCCCCCAGGTTGGGAACCACTGCTCTAAGTGGTCAATGGGTTCTTTGACCACTTAGCACAGCTTCCTGAGGTTTATGCAGGGTAACAAATTACAAGCTGGGTATAACTCAGTAAGTGGTCATTGTTTTCTTTAAGGAAAAATATCATTAAATAATGTCTATTATCACCTGTTTTATTTTAATACCCTATAAAAGTGATTTAAATACCTTATAAAAAGATAATGTTTTAATACAACTATGGGCATTATTACTATGACACTCAAAACAACCAAAAAAGTTACTAGTATTTATTTATACTTTACCATGTAAGTTGTTATAAAATACTTTATAATGTGTAATGATTATTGTTATAAAGCATTGTGAATATGTACGAGTAGTTAATACTACACTTATACAGTCTCAAAAGCAGATTACAAAGCATTATAATCAAGTTTATAATTCGTTATAGACATTGCCGTTAAAGAACATTTTATTATCTCAAAATATTTATTTGTTTAGGAAAGTAATTTATCTCCTTCTACTTTTCAAATCAATAAAAAATAAATGAGTAAAATGAGTTATATTTTCAGATTGAAAAGCATTTTGGGGAATACCTGCTGAAAATCCAAAGAGGAAGACAATGTAGACAAGGAGGAAGCGCAGCATATCACAGAGGATTATCTACAAAAAGAAAAAGGGGCAAAGTGATTTAAGGAGGGTTCACTGTGATGGTCACCGTGGTGCTGAGCGTCCTGTGTGAACTACCTTCTGTATCATGATGCTGTAGATGCCCATGTGTCTGTCGCCTCTGGAGAAGTAGAGGATGTTGACCCAGCTGAGAGCGAGACACACCACCATTACGCTGAGGTACTGCTCCATCCCCAACAGATACAGCCCGGCTGTGAACAGGAACAGGAGGCCCTGAAAAAAACTGTCAAGAGAAACCACTGTGATCCTGCAAAGCATTGTGGTTTTCAAATCTAACAATTAAAATACATTATTAAGTTAAGAACATTTACAATCAAGGACATTCCATGTTTGGGGTGGTTTACAATGTTTGAAAAACCTCTTTTATTGACAGTTTTTGTTTTGTTTATTGTGTTGTCTCCTTACTCATCTAGAGACTGTCCGTCAGTGGCCCCTCGTGAACAACAAGTGCTTCATTAGCATAAGACATTTTATGCAATTGTCAAAGCCAAAAACATACTTTTCAGACGTACGCAAAAACAGACCTTAATAGAAAGGTTTTGTGTCATGTTATCAGCAATGGGGGTTCATAATTGTGCACAGGACAGGACTAAAGCCATGGATGTACATTATAAAGGCAAGTATGTAAAATCTGGAGGGAGGTGTTTGTTTGAGTGTTGAGTTCAAATATCAACAATCTTTCTCCAGAATCACTGACTCACTCAGTTAGAAATAGAGATAATCTAGTCAAGGTTTTTTTTGTTTGATTTAGGAAAAATACAAGTTCACCAAATGGTCACGCTTTTAGTGAGTCAGTACTGTGGCAAAACATCCAACGTTTTAAGCATTACTACTTACAAAAGAATCTCATAATATCCATCAATCAGCAACGTCTGCAGCTTCGGCCGTTTCCTATACATGTCCATGACCTAGGGATTTAGGTATGATTTTTTATTAAAAGATTGAAGACTGTGATGTGATTTTAATTAAAAGCACATAGTCACCTACTTACCCCTATGACAAAGAAATAGCAGTTTGCCAGCGCTGTCACTAGCTGGCCTGAAACATACAGGTAACCCAGAGTGGTGTGTTCGATGTGAAATGGCGGCTGTGGGGCAGAGCAGAAACCTCAGTTCAGATCGGCTACAAAGACCAGTCAAAACCATGTGTAGCAGTCAGCTTACCAGCCCAAATTTCTTGTTGTAGGCCACAAGGGTGAAGTTGATCAGGTACAGGATGTAGACCAGGAGGTTGAGGAAAAACATTCGACCAGCAAACTTCTTCCACTTCTCGTCCAGCAGATGGCTCAGAGGCTCCATCTGGAGCATCTCGTGGCGGTTCTGAAAGGAGTCACATGTTTGAGTACAGAACAACAACTGACAGACTGGGTTTATAATGCTGGGACTCACAGGAATGTCACTGCCGTACACCAGAATATCCAAGACTGAGTTCTCCTGGTACGAGTCCACCGAGGCCAGGTCGTACAAGGAGCTCTGGACGGGCCCGTAAACCCACTCTGTGAACTTACGGGACAGATGTTTGGCTTTATTCTCTTGGAATTCCCGTTTTAGGATGTGTGAAAAAATCTGCAGACAAATTAAAGTAAAGTCAGAGCCAATTTATTTTTGAGAATGTTCAATCACAATTATCTAGGTCGTAGGCTACAATATGGAGACTGAAATTGTGACCCTCTAACCTAGCCTGCAAGAAAGAAGACTTCAATGTGCATCATCAATACATCCTTAAACAACTGAAATGTGTTAGCATTTTTGCACTTTGAAGTCAAGGTCGTTTTATTATTTGGTAAAATTCCTTAGATAAAGTGTATAGTTAACAGGTTCTTCGACATTAAACATGTCAGTAAATATGGTGCACATGATGGTGGTGATATTAAATTCATTTGTTTATCCCCCAACATTAGCTTTTTATTTCTAGTGCTTCATAAATCATAAAAGAGTTTGTGAAGAAAACTTGTGAGTAGGCCTATTCTAAACCTCAATTTTCCACAGAGCTTATTATCTGATATAATCCAAAATTAAATGACAACATTGGTAATCATTGGCTTTTGGTCTAGGGAACCCAGTCATCCCAGGGCCCGCCAAACTTTACTCCTTGGGTTGTTGGGAGAAGCTAGGAGTCTTGTCCCTGGGCCTCAGCTAGCTATGCTGCTATGTCTACAGTGACACTGCGGAAATGTTTACCCCAATCTTGCCAGTCTTGGCAGCCATTTTGAGAGGCGTCAGCCCATTGTTGTTCTCGATGTCCTCCAGTTTCGACTTGGGGTGAAGTTCGGCATTGGTCTTGAGGATGCGGTCATACATTTTGGTAACAAACTCTGTGTTATCGGTAGAGTTGTCAGCCACCACCACCAGGGCGTGCAGCACAGTGTTTCCATGAGAGTCAGTTAGCTCAGCATTAGCGCGTTGGTACTCGCTCTTCATGAGGAAGTCCACCACGTCGGGCTGGTTGGTGCAGGCTGCCAGAGACAGAGGCAGCTCACCTGAGGACAACACACAAAGACACTCTGTTAAGTTACAGCTTTTTTCCCCTGCGTGCTATAATTGATTAAATCTCAATGTATTCTTGTGTCTACATCAAATCAATCCAAGAACAGCCATGCAGAGCAGGGCTTTGAGACTAATGCCAGACAGTTCGAGTGAAACATATTTGCCAACGGATTAGGTCGCAAGAAGGTTGAGAATTGTAAAAAAAACCATCTGGTTACAAAGCCACTTGTGAAAGTTGTCTTTTTGGATTAAATGGTAAATTATATAGCACTTTATCAGGACTGTACGACCCCTTAAAGCGCTTTACATAGCGCACTAGGAGTCATTAATCCATTCATACAGAGCACTACCATTTGCTCTCAGGAAGCTAACATTCATACACCCTTGGAGCAACTCCGGGTTAAGTATATTATCCAAGTACATCGACACATTGACTGCACGGGCTGGGATCAAACCCATAACCTAACCTTCTGGTTGAAAGACGACCATGCTCCCTCGCAGCCAAAGTCCCCCATTAATAAGTGTGTTTGTTAGCTACCCATCTTATATAAATTACAGTTACCTAACTATATTGAATTTACTGATGTAAATTAACTCCCTTAACTGTAGCTTAAATATGTAAGAAAAAAAGTAGTTTGACCCATCCATCCACCCTGGCCTCCTTCATATTGGACTTTTTAACTTTTCTGAATAATGTTTCCCTCAAACCCTAATTGCAGTTTTGCACACAAAACTTAAAATAATTGAACAGTTGTAAAAATTACTTAAAGGTCTCCTATTATGCTATTTTTAGGCATATATTATGGGTCTCAGATATATATATCATGTCTATGATGTGTTTTGCTCAAAAAACCAAACAGATCATGCATTTTAGACATCCCTCATATCCCTCTATTTCAGGCCTGTTAGAGAAACGCAGATTGTGGGTCCAATATGTGTGGGGGAATCAAATCAAATCCAGTTTTATTTATATAGCACATTTAAAAGTGATTTTTGGTCGAGCCAAAGTGATGGCGTAAGGGTAATCAACATTATTCAATAGATAGACTAAACAGCTGAGGACTCTGAATCAACTTTAGTTGTCGGTTATAGCTCGGGGTCATCTACACCCCAAGAAGGATGTGTTCCAGGTGTCCCACAACAATAACTATCTCTGACCGAGAGTTGCCTGGTCATAAACTGGTAACAACAACAAAATGCTAGGGCAGCCCCTCCTTAAGGGAGATAGTGGCTTTCCAAGGCTGGGCATCTGCGTCAGAGGGCGAAGGAGGACATGCAGGGCAAATTATTCCCTGACATGGAGTATGGATAATATGGAGCTTGTTGGGGAAATATTTTCCTAGGCCCATATCATTGACCCAGTTTATCAGTTAGTAATGACCTCACTGAGCTCAGGCACCTGAGCCTTGGGTGCTGTGCTCCAAAATGTGACAGTCACAATGGCAATCTTTTTGTGCTGTCCTTTTTTGTAATAAATGAACATTGACCCTAGCCCAGCTCAAATGTAAGATTTCAGGGAACAAATGACATTGGAACTAAGAAATACCGTATTGAAAATGTATTTCTTCATGTTATTGTCCAGAGATGCTGTGACTCTATGGAAAGTTTCTCACTCAGTAGTAAAGGTGGCGATGTGTGACTCATCAGTAGATTATCTTTGTGGGAGGCTCCAGAGGAGGGGGCTGCGCCCTGCTGCAGCATGGACTCACCAAAGTAGAAGTTGGGGCCATCGTGTGGCTGGAAGAAAGTTCCGCAGGCTTTGGCGTGGATGTCTGCTCCTTTACTGAGCAGCAGCTCCACATAGGAGAGACTCCTCCTCTCAATGGCTATATGAAGAGCTGTCTGACCTGAATAAAAAGAGTCATACCATTCAAATCTCTTTACATTGTTTAGGTTTGAGGAATAACACAAAGAAAGACATGAGGGTTAATTCTCTCAACAATTCAGCTTCAGTTTACCTTCGTAGTAGATGTTAGTGTAGGCCGCATTTACAAACTCATTAATGTCTTTCATCTTCTCTGAAATGTCGATCAAAAGCTCCACCGTCTCGTTTTTGCCATCCATGAGGTGCAGCAGAGCCTTCATGAGGGCCGTTTTACCGTGAGACTGATCTGCAGGTGTAAACACACATACAGGGAGATCATGGACGGATATCTGGACAAACCTAGGCACAGAGCCAGGGGCCTAAGTGTGTAGGGGCCCAGTGGCCTGCAACTACACAATGTCAGTCAAAGAGACACATGCTGGCAAAAATAAAACAAAGGGACACAAAGCGACACAAAATGATTCAAGAGACAAAATCACCACAATGATAGACTTTTGTCTATCGTTGTGAAAGAAATAAAGAAAATAATAAATAAATAAACAAAACTAACACAAGGAGACTTAAAATCAGGACAAGAAGACCATAAGAAGACACAAAAGGCCTACAAATGACCACAAAGAGACACAAAAAAATAAACAAATGAAGCACAAAAGCACATGAAATCAATAGAAGACAACAAGGAGACACAAAACCACAGAGTCTATAGGTAAGGTGATGGGGCCTGTTACATGTCTGTGCCCAGGGGTCCATTGTCTAAAAAATAACCCCTGAGGGAGGTAACACACATGTCTACAGCTGTTGCATTATGGGTCTGACACTCACACAGAGAGTTGGACAGTTTCATCCTGTTCTGATGCAGGTACTGATGCAGGCCGTCCAGCTTTTGGACGTCCCTGCTGGCCACCGCTTCAAACAGCCTGTCAATACCAAACCTGTTGTCTGTGCGTCCACTGGGATCCAATCCTTGAATCTCTCTGTCAACATAACACGTCACAGACAACATCATTGGGGGCAAAAGGTGAAGCAACTCCAACTTAATCATCAATTCTGGGCTTGATAATACACAGAACCATTTTTAATGAGAGTTAAAATCCCTTTATGTTTGCATGGTGAGGCTCACTTGTCAAAGTTGGCATTCATTCTGATTTTAGGCTTGGGGATCTCCATCTCTTCCTGGTAATCAGTGTCCATTGGAGCCTTGGGCGGCTCATTGCTGAAACCGCCCTTATGCGCCGCTCTGTGCCGCGCTTTCTCCTCCATCGTCCTGTTGTCTGTCTCCAAAGAGATGCCAAACATCTCCGACTTCTCCATCTCCACCCCCTGCTCTGCGAATCATTCAGACAACAGCCATCAGAACCAGGGATGAGTATTTGTCTGCTATAGATACATTTGTGAAGGAGTTCATCTGATTCCCTACCACCTTAAATGGTTGAAACATAATGTTAAATAAACATTGGGGGAAATAATTTGAATGCATTCTATCAGCAGACGATTGTAATGGACTTCCCATGGTAATCAAATTGCTGCTGAGAATTGACTGGCATAGTGAGCTTGAGATATTTTATTACATCTTGTAAATGTGGGAAGTGTTATCCCTTCGCAAACTACACACATTCTGTAGATGTCCAAAATGGATGCCTATTTGGGGAGAGGTTGAGAAAACCCTAGAGTATGTTTCTGACTTAAAAAGCATCGAATACACCGAAACAAAATTCATGACGTATACACATTATGGACATAGAATATACAGTACCTACATCAGAGTATGAGAATACTTTTTGAATAAGACATAGACTTAACATTGACATACTAACATTGTTTGTAAATTGTTCCAAGAAAATAGGTATTTCACCCCAATCACAATACCCTTCTCCCTTTATATATATTTTTTATCTACTTACTTATTTCATTATGTTTTTTATTTTCGGTATGGTTGAATTGTGTGTGCTTGGTACTCCTTGCAATTGTGCCAATAGGTCACACACACTTAGTTTTTGTCTAGTGTGTCACAAGCCAGAAGCATTAGAGAGCCCTGATGTAAACATGCGGGACAAAGCGTTTAATGTTAATGTTTAACATGAGTCACTATGCGTTAGTATCAGCTGGGTCTGAATTCACCACAGGAATCACCTTCTAGCCTTTAAGGGCACAGACATATTTCTAGGCATGTGATGTTCCAGCCGCAGGGAGGAACAAGGGAGTGTATTTAGAGGAAGATTTCCATGAGAACATAACTCACAACACTTAATCTGGTAGCCACTTCGCTGCAGAATAATCAATTATGTACAGTAGGGTTTATTGAAAACAACATTTTGCAAGTGATTTAAATAAAAAATATAAGTCAAACTGATATAAATAAATGTATAGTTTTTTAATCAAGCAAAGGGCAACAGGAACCTGATGGCTTTCTGTTCCCTTTTTTCTGTCACGAAATGAGGAATTAGTGACTCATTGCATCTCCGTATGACTGTGATCATCACTAGAGGAATAGCACTAAAGTAAAACAATTGATGGAAAAACAGAGAAGTGTGTGCTGTCCGTCTCATTCTTTGAAAAGTCCATTTCCCATGGATCTCAAATGCCATTTAGCAGTACCAGTTGTGAACAAATAAAAAAAAAATGTACATTGCCAAAATATGAGTTGTTCATTGTGTGTGCAGATGCACCACCCTCATCATTCTTCAGCAGTTCAATTATAAATAAAGATTAAGAGACACAATTTGAGTCAGTGGTGAAATTAGGTCCATCTTCCCATACCATTAGTTCCCATATCCTCATAAAATCAACCACACCACTGCGGTGCAGGTTTTTAAATGTCTGCACGGTATGTTCAAATGTACAAAATATGTGTTAACAAATCACAATAGAATGTAAGATATGTTCAAACAAAGATTATTTCACTGACTGGGATGTTTGACAATGTCCTTCAGGACCAGTAGAAATCTTGTAATTTAAAACTGATAAACACATCAATTTACTCACCAAAAGTTATTCTTCCAGCACCAGATTATAGAAAGAAATAGATCTTGAAGTAAAAAACACAACATTGTCCTGCATGGATGTGTGAGTTCTATTGTTCTTACATGTCCGTTTATTGTAAAGGCGGTGGGAGATAGCAGGAAGACTCTGCCTGGAAGAGGCAGAGATAGGGTGACATCCCCCAGAGGATATCAGAGAACATTACTGCAGCCCTGAGTGCTTAAAAGGATCTGTTATTGACCATCATGCCAAGACAGCAAAAAAATACCACAAAGGAATCAGCGAGTACCCGTGTATTATCTGACAGGAACACATTTGTTTCATGAGGAGATCATTAGAGAGCAGTTTAACTGTGGCATATGCCATATAGTCTTTCAAATTCATTTTAGGGTTATCCTCTGAGGCACTTAGCTGGAAAGAAATAGCCATCAAGATCTTAAACAAATTCAATTAAAAAAATAACATAAATGTACAACTTACCCTTTTGAAATGCTACTCTTCTTTGTAAGGTTGGTGCATGATATTTTCGTAAGCGAGTTTCCTTTGTTTAATCGCTGATTTGCTTCCTGTGTATCTTATGCGCCTCCAGTAGTTTCACTGACATGGGTGTGTGTGTGTGTTCATGCTGCTGTGGTCCTGTGACTGTGTGGTTGCAGAGATTATGCTTTCTAGCGTCTGCTACAGTATAGATCTGCAGTCATGCCATTTCCTTTCTTATTATAACTTCCTTTTTCACAGCTAGGCCAAGGCACTATACAGGCAAACAGACTCCATTTTGAGAGTTTGAGCTGTTTTGCTTCCATTACATTTCTTCCTTCCAGAGGTGGAAAGCAACTAAGTACATTTACTCAAGTACTGGACTTAAGTAAAAATGGTTAGATACTTGTACTTAACTTGAGTATTTCCATTTTATGTTACTTTGTACCCCACAACAATTCAAAGGTGAATTGTGTACTTTTAGTCCACTACATTAATTGAATTCCTTTAGTTACTTTGCATATTTGGATTAATGATTTGACATACAATCAACACTTACACAAGACTTAAATTACACCTGGAGTAAATTCACAAGCTACACTGCAGTATACAAAGTCATTGAAACTAGCTGCACATTTACCAGTTTTAAGTCACTGTCTATTTGTGTCTGTAGATTTCCTAAATTCATATAAAGTTATCCTCAGATAATTCCTCATTCCCATATTTAAAAATACAAATTAATAAAACTTGTTACATTAAAAATAATCTTAGTACAAGTAATAAGCTGGGGAGGTTTCATCTTTGTTGTACTCTATTTACAGGCAGTGTCTTGCAGAATGTATGGAATACATAAACCTCCATTTCAGTATCACTTACATACAACAATATTTAAAGTGACATGTTCTGAAGGTTTTTACAGAGGGGTTTACTTTTATATCATTCTCAGCATGATTGATATCTCTTTTTTTCCTTAAAACATGGCTATAATTCCAGTGTTTTTCTTAATTGGTTGTTTACACCTTTTCTCTGATTTATGGAGAGATACAAAAGATCTCCTTAATTCCCTATGTAAAAACCTGAGTCTTATGTCAACAAAACAGACATCAATGTTGAGCCTGGCTTTATCCAATTTTCAGATGTATTGTTCTAATGTATTAAAATAAGCACATTCATTATTGTGATATCTATTAGAAAAGTGGTTCTCCCTTAAACAGGCACAGGATAGCTTGAGCATTTAAGTGTTTGGCACCAGACCAACTCTACACTTTATATAAGATGATATATGATTGATATCGTACAGCCTGGTGCTTTCAAGGTTGATCTGGACTTTTCGATAAAAAATACAGTCTGTACAGATCAAACTAAATATGTTCTCCTTGATTCTTACTACGCTGAAGAATCAAAAAATCAAATAACAAGCATCCAAGTGCCAACAGAGGACTGACGAAAACGGTTTATAAAATCCACATAAAAGGGACAAAATGCAAGGACATTAACCCACTTAGTGAGTAGCAGAAGTAAAACATTGAAGTTAAAGACTTTAAATGAAGAAACAGCCAAGGAAGAACCGTAATCATAAATCTAAACCCAGACCGTGTTAGATAAAAGTGAGCGACAGTGAATGAGCAGCCTTCAGAGGAACGATTAAAAAACCTTATCGTAAGACTATTAAGCTTTCTGGGGGGAAACAATCCTACAGTATTATTCACTTTAGGTATGTAGGCCCCATAGAATGATATGAGAGCCTAATTCTAAGCCAAGGGTTCTTCTTACAGATGCCCTAAATATAAACCCTGGCCCTTTAAAAGAAGCAGTTCACACTCAAACATATAGATCTTATAATAGATCATACATCTGTTGTTTTCAAAGCATTCCAGCGGTGCTGTGATTTCAGTCTACTTCACACTTCATAACACCTGTCAGCAACATGGAGGGAAAGAGCATGAACCGTTCAACCGTTACTGCAGCTTAATGCAGAAAGCAAGGAGTGAAAACCAAGTGATAACACAATGTGTTTTTTTAATTCTTTGCACAGTTCTACATAGGTAGCTGTCTTTGAATACATTTGCTCTTTAACATTAGTTTTTTTCTAATGAATGATGAGCATCTTTGCAACGGACTTATGTTTTAAAATCCTTATCAGACATCATGTTATCTGAAACACTGCTTATTAGACCCAGAAATGACAGGTAATGGAGTTAAATTCAATGTTGAAAGGGGATTTTAGCTGCATTCAAGAAGCAGTTGGTATGAGCCAGCATGTATCATTTGGTAGCTTCGATCTTTGATTCCTAAAAGTCTAAAAACCTCACAGAACAATACAAGCTGGAAAATTCTTAAGGCTTTGGATTCTTTCCAGATTTTGCTTTTAGATTCAGAGCAAAATCTGTTGTACCATTTCAGTTTTCCTGATTTTTACCAAATGAGCGATTAAATAAGTAACCTATAATGTTCACTTGATTATGTATGCTTCTCTCATGAGGTCACAGAGGACCATGGCTACGCCGACAGCAGAGTCAGCGTTTTGTCCGTACACCACCGGTTGAGGAAACGCCTTCTCCACCTCCTGCCTCAGCACCTCATTGCGGGCGATGGCGCTCCCACTGCCCACAATCCGGCAGACCCCCGCCTGCTGCAGACGCTCAGCAGGCATCATTGACGCAATGTTGTGCAGGACTCCACGGCACAGCGCCCTGGTCACGTGACCCAGAGACAGATTGGTAGGGGAGATGTTGGTGACCTGGCCCAGGCAGAGGGGGTCGTGCCTTTCCCCCAAGAGAGTGGGACTCACCGACAGCTCGCTCGTTTCCTGATTCAGGGCGCAATTAATCAGCTTCTCATATAAACAGGAATCACTCATCTCTACACCTGCGAGGGAAGAGGAGGAGCTGTTTAACATTAGGATTAAACACTTAAATGGCAATAATCTCAAAAACATTTTAGTAAAGGTTTAGAGAAAACTGCCCTCTTTGGGCTGTCGTTGACATTTGATTAAATTGAACATATTGTATTTGTTATTTCAAAAATTAGAGTGGCAATAAACAACCCCCATAGCGTTTCCAAGTTGTAATATTGTAAGTGCCACTGTTGCAAAGACAACTGAAACGTGGTTGTCGGCTTCAGTCACTCAGAATAAATTGCATGCCAATAAAAACGCAATGACATGGCAATCTGCAAATGACCGCATGACGTTATCTGGAAACCTTTGGAGCTTCTAGCTACGTTTATTAGAAATTAGTTGGCAACACTGCACAGCACATTGTTTTTCGTAGCTCTATGCCATAAATGGACAACTCATTTTCCCAGGAGATTTTACCCTGTGGCAGACATACTTTGTTCTTCCTTGTGAAAGCGAGTATTATAGGGAAGCAATCCAAACACTGTTGATGTCATTATTCTATAGCCATTACAATGTGCAATGAACTAGGGAGGCGTGTGGCGCAGTGGACTAGTGCGTTGGTGTTTTGATCAGGGGAGCACAAGTTCAAACCCCACTGCAGTCAGCATGTCGTTGTGTCCCTGAGACAGTAATGTGGGGATTGTCCACCGTATTGAGTATGTAAGTCGCTTTGGATCAAAGCGTCTAACAAGTAACATGTAATGTAACTTTACTTGATAATGGTAAGTTAAAACAAAAAACATGTCTATTGCCACATTTAATTTGACTAAGTCTGAAGATTCTACAGCTATGCTAGCAACTCTATGAAGCCGTATTACACAGCACTGCTTTGAGACAAATGGTAACCTTAGCATAACATACAGATTATTACAGTGGTCAGCATTTTAGCTTTGCAAATGTGTAAATAAGCATTAGCTAATTAGCACTAAATCCAAACATAAACAACATTTCCACTTGATTTTTGAGTGAGAGGAAAAGTGGAAAGATAATCAGAGTTATCATGATTCATTCTGGAACATGAATGTGTGGAAAACACTTAACACCCACATCACTCTGACGCTAGAGTAAGGAGGATCATCAGGGTCATGGGGCTTCTTTTTTTTTTCAAGGTTTAACATGGCATTCCCTCCATAGTCGTGACATTTTAGTTGAATTGAAAAGTTGAACAAACACTGCCGCCTAAGAAGCACACTACTAGCATGACAACAAATACATACCAAGCTCTTTCATCCAGGAAGTGAGCATCTCCACAAATGTAGCCAGTACATTCCCTCCATTTAGTGAAGCAGCCACCGCCAAGTACGAGTCCTCGAAGTAGGGAACGTAGGAGATGGAGGACGCAGGCTGAGGAGAATCTGGAGGTTTGAAGTCACCTGGCAAGGCGAAGGTCAGCTGGGCTGAGGTGCTTATGTTAAGAACTGAGAAATTAGGAGAGGATAAAAACTGTCATCTGAGGCATAAACACTAACAGCTCCAAACAAGACATGCAGGAGACACACACAGCAGGAATACACTTGATCCATAATGCATTCATTCCTGTGTGTGCAACATAAAGAGTACAAACTAAGACGTGGGTAGTTGCTGCTCTGTGCCATGTTAAGTCATTCCTATGCTTATTTATTTGGTATTTTTCAGTTTTAATACAGTATATAAACACATCTCTATGAGGGATTTTCCAATGGAACAAACAGACTCACAAGCTAATAAACAATACCAGCACCACTGTTGCAACTGGTAACAAATCTACAAAGAGTCACAAAATTACAAAGACGTGCAAAGCAACTGCAAAGAGCCCACAAAAGACACACAATGACAATGAAAAGGGGTCAAACAACCACAAAAATAAAGAAAATAACTACAGTAGGATGACACACTAAAACAAAAGCACTACAAAGATTAGAAGATTAATCTAATCGATGCTACATGTCATTGAACAGCTGTAATGGATAGACTTTGTTCTGAAGTGCAAGAACTTTCTTCTGAAGTGCATAAACAGTCGAGTACAGCTATTTTCACCTGCGTCTGTTCTGGCACTCATGCAGGAGTATACCGAGCACTGGAAGTCTCCCAGAGCGGCCCCTACTGGTGTTCCAGCAGGGATACCATGCCAGTCAGAGTACGTCTGTCCCGCCCAGCCACCAGATGGCACACACTGAGGAAGCAGGCCCAAAGGGAAGCCGGCCCCCTTCAGACTGCAGCATGCACACACAGAGGCTTGTAATGTAGGTTACGCATAACAACTCTTTACAATGCCAACATGTTTAGCAATTTTAGTTGAACACTAAGCATGCAAAACCTTTAGAAAATGTGTCATGCATGTAGATTTACACTTTACGTACATGTCTGTATTCCACTGGTTGGAAGAGGTGTTGAAGTAGCCCCAGCTGGCTGCATTCTGGGGCGTCATCACACAGCCGTCCAGACCACACAGCATGGACACCACGTAGTCCTGGATGGTACCTGCTACTGTGAAGTCCTCGAGGAACTCTGGCCTGCAGTAAAAACCAAACATATTAACTTCAGTTTCATATCACTAAATAAAAATGCTTTGGGATGTTTTCAGAAATGCATGCTGACCTGTTTCTCATGTACCAGAAGATTGTTGCACAGCCAAAGCCTGTGGCCAAGCTGAGATGTGAGTCTGGATTTGGAAGTGAGGACAGGAAGTTGCTGCTGCAGCGCCCATCCTGCCAGGTGATCAGCTGACTGGTGTCTCTGGCTGTGAAGAAATCCCTCTTGGACCAATTACAACCTGCAGGGGGAGAGAGGATGGAGACATCCCAGGAGC